GTGAAACAATAGGAAGGGAAATGCTATTGGGCACTTTTATTGTAGTTATTATTTGTGGCAAATATATATAATCAGAGTTATCCCATTTCACTTTTTAAAAAATTTATTATTAATTTCAATGAAAATTTACAGAGACTTTGGGTTTCCATTCATTCATTGTTGCACTTTTCTCCCCTCCCAACCCTCGCCCCTAGTACACTACCCTCTTGGAAAAGTAAAAGAAAAATTCTTTCATTGTTTTACAAACTCTCCCCCAGGTCCACTCCACTATGCAACCTTTGCTCTGGACTCCTGTCAACACAAAAATACCTAATCACATTTCCCTTTTAAACAGTTTTCTCCCTTATCTGTTTCAATGTAGTAGACATTATTGAACCCATCTTGCCATTTCACTTTTAAAAAAATAATTTTAAAACTGCTTTTATTTGTAACCCCCCTGTCAAATAAATAGATTGTGGTTCTTCAAGCTCACCATACAGACTAGGTTGAAAGTAAAGGATTTATGAACTTTTTTGAGAGTTAACCTTTTTGAGTTCTTTATAAATGGCACATTCATTAACTGAATGAATAGCTAGAAAATTCTGTGCTTTGGAGTGATCACTAAAAGAGTGAGAATACAGGCTAATTTGTTAGCTGGGTTCATTGTCCACCCTTACAGAGCACCAGCCCAGGGTGGAGTCCAGAAGACTGGAGTCCAGGAATGCTCAAGAATCAGGAATCTTGAGTCCATAGCTAAAAAATCAAAATTTTGTTACATGTACATCTCAGTGATGTTCATCACATTCATCTTGTTGTTAAAGCATAATCACTATCCTTTCAAAATCTTAATATATCCTTAACAGATTCTCAATGTCCTAGGAACTTCTCAAAATTACTTTAGTCAGGTGGCAATTTAATGTAAAAATAAAATAGTTAGAAATCAGCTGAAAATCATTGCAAGGCAGAACCTTGGAAAAGTCGGCTAGTCTGGCTTTCCTTTCTAGAGTAAGGGTGTTCTACCTACCTTTCCCCTGAGCCTAGAGGCAGCCAGACTTCTTTATCAGAGTGATTGTGCAGAAACCCTTGCCAAGATTTCTCTGACAGTAAGGTTTATGGGTTGCTTTAGCCTAGAGACCAAGATGTGCCTGATCTTGGCCATGGTCTTTGCAATTACTTGTTATGCATCAGAGAAATGGACAATGACTAAAGATGATAGAAGGATCAAAGCCTTTGAATTGTGGAGCTGGAGAAGAGTGTTGAACATACTGTGGACTGCCAGGAGAGCCAACAGGTCTGTCTTGGAGAGGGTGTAATGAGGCTACTCCCTGGAGGCGAGGATTTTGAAGCTTTGTCTCACATACTTTGACCATGTAGCCAAGAGGAACCAGTCTTTGGAGAAGGACATCATGTTTGGAAGGGTGGAAGGACAGCACAGGAGAAAAAGACCCAGAGTGAGATGGATTGACTCAGTAAATGGAGAAGTAGGATTAGGTCTGTTGGAGATGATGAAATTGGCTCAGGATGGGGCAGGGTTCAGAGCTAGTGAACACAGGGTTGCTATGAGTCGCAGGCGACGCAATGGCACGTAACAACTACAAGATTTTTGGGAGGAAGGGTAATGATAGATGACCTAACCACTTTAAGTTTAGACTTGCTTCCAAAGAATGAATTTCTTTTTTATGGGAAGATCTGCCTTCTGCTGTACAGCCCACCCCAGGTTTTCTCCCAGGTCATGGCTCCTCTTCTTTTCACCACTCCTTTTCCTGTAGGTCCAAATCTATGCTGTGAAGACGTCATCTCTTCTGCCTCTTTCACACACATTCTTTGCTATGTATCCATTCTTAGTGTTCTGCATCCTCTTCCTCAGCATTTCTTAGTTAAAATTCTAAGTCCTTCATTTGTCCATCTGTCTCTGTGAGTCTCTAACCTTCTGAGTAGTGGATGTTCTTAATTACATCAAGAAGCGTATCCAGGATGAAGCAAGAGTTGCACTAATTTTTGTGAACCACAAGTCAAGTGACAAGCAACAGGTAAAACCTGTTCTGTAAGTTTAAAAGTAAAATACATGGAGTCAGCTTGATGTCCTTGCAAGGAATAATATGGAATAGGTACAATAAGTGTGTTTGTTTTCAGTCTCCTCCCGTGTGATTTGACAGCCTCTGAAAACTCATGAGAGGTTTAGTTTTGAGTCAGCTCTCTAACTTGATAATACATAACAATAGATGTAAGTTTCTTACTAGAGCTCCAAGTTAATCTGTGCTACTGTTTCCTCTCCCTTGTGCCACCTTCAACCCTAGTTCAGTATGGTGGCTCCGGCCTGGGCTACCTGGAGCATGTGCTGGTAATGGAAGAGATGTCTCGAGCTTCTGGAGCAGTGGGACTCAGTTATGGTGCCCACTCCAATCTCTGCATCAATCAGCTTGTGCGCAATGGGAATGAGGCCCAGAAGGAAAAATATCTCCCCAAGGTGAGGCAATGGGGATGAGAAGCACATGCTGATCTCATGGTGTAACCACAGCCACCATTGGTAAAGATCAGTTACACTTGCTTTCTGTGGCCTACTGCTCTGAATCAAAAAATATGATTAGAAAATTATTACAGATTTGCCTTAAAATAGTTCATTATAAATTTAAAAATTCCTCAACAACACCAGTAGATATCCACTACTTGAAATGGAACAACCAGAATGGAATTAGAATGTTAATACATTGTAGGAAATAGAACTAACTAATGTCACTGAACAATGTTGCATTATCAGATGGGAATTATCAAATGGGAATCTAATTTACTGTGTAAATTTTCACCAAAAACACAGTTTGTTGTTGTTTAATGCCGTCGAGTCGTAGACGACTCATAGCGACCCTATGAACGAACAGCCTGAGCACTGTTCGTACATAGAGTTTCCAGAGGCAAGCCATTTTGGAAGTGGATGCCGCTCCTGCTTCCAGGCTTAATTTAGTCGGAAAGCTCCAGCCAACACTGTCCACCATGGGTGCCCATTACCACGATTGGCATATCACTGTCACAGGCTTCAGCATCACAGCAACCACGAATTACCTCTGTACAGCAACGCACAGACCAGTGTTATACCACTTAGAAGAACGTTTGACAGGAAGACAATTTGAACCTGGCCCTTTGGGCTTAAGCCTGCCCCCTGGTTCAAACCCTAGGCCCAGGCTGGCTAGCCTCACTCCAGTGACAGAGCAAACCTGCACGTCAAACACATTCCCGGAAAAGCAGTCCACTCCAAAAGCTTGCCACGATTCCTGCACTCCCACCACCACGCTCCTGCCTTCTGGCAAGGAGAGCTTCCCACGAGCCTGGGAAGGCACCAGTAAGATATTTAAAAGAAATTAGGGAATTTTTAAAAAGAAATTGGGGGGGAAAAATTAGGAAACCTAGTGATTTGCCTATAATTGGGGGAGGGTAATCTATAATTTCATTAAATAGCAGAGCAATTTATATAGATGATGAAAAACAGAACATATTTGGGCCCAGGACCCCCTGGCAATTGAGGTGATGTACAACATCTGAAAAGCCTTTTTTAAGAAATGGAAAAAGAGAACTAGCTTCCTTCCAAAGGAGAGCCATTTTCAGCTAGGCTTCTCCCCTAGTACTTTATCAGTGCCCTGGTGTGTGAAGAAGTGTGAAAGGGTGTCATATGAACAGGCAGGAATCAGTGAGCTCCTGGGGGGTTCTTTTGAACTCCTAACAAAGCCCTTTGGGGTTTTCCTTGCAGTTGATCAGCGGTGAGTACATTGGAGCCTTGGCCATGAGTGAGCCCAATGCAGGCTCTGATGTTGTCTCCATGAAGCTAAAAGCAGAGAATAAAGGTGAGGCTACTCTTGGGACCTAAATGGGCAAAGGTATAGACTTTATCAGGGTCTAAGGAACAATATAGATGCTTTGTGATACAGTAATTAAGTGCCTGGCTGTTAACCAAAATGTGAGTGGTTTAAATCCACCTGTTGCTCTGTGGGGAAAAGATGTGGCAATCTGCTTTCATCTTGGTAGCCCTATGGGACAGTTCTCTGTCTTGTAGGAACCAACTCAAAAGCAGGTGGAAAAAACAAGTAACTGGGAGTTCCCCCTACTGAGCTCTAGCACTGCTTCCCTACTGAGCTCTAGCACTGCTTCCCAGCCAGGCAACTTACTCAGCCTAACATCTGTGGGCTATCTGTCTCAGGCCAAGCCAGACTGAGCAAATGCCCAACTATCTGCCCTTAGGTGATCACTACATCCTGAATGGCAACAAGTTCTGGATTACCAATGGCCCCGATGCAGATGTCCTTATTGTTTATGCCAAGACAGATCTGGCTGCTGTGCCAGCTTCTCGGGGCATCACAGCCTTCATTGTGGAGAAGGTAAGGAAAGGTGGGTGGTGTTTATGTGGGATAGTATTTTCCTGACTGTGGTACCAGAGAGGATTCCCTTCACCCTATCACAGGTACCATGCTGTAGTCTCTGACAAGGCTCTCTCTCTGGAGTAGGAATAAGGAGGAGAGGAAGCTTTGAAGGAGACTAAAAGGAGGTCGACCAAAGACAAAATCTAAGATGTCCAGGAATGAGGATAGTGGGGGGCCATCCACAGAACCAGGGGATTCAGGGAGAGGCCTAAAGAGAAGCTGCTGAATTTGGTAATCTGTATGTCACTGATGAACTTGGGACCAGCTGTGGGAAACTGAGGGGTGGGGTGAACACATGTGGAAACTGAATGAAGACTGCACCTTCAAAAATGTTGGCACTAAAAGCAAGAGGGATCTGAAGCAGGAGCTGATTTTAAAAGTTTGGGTTGTATCAGTTATCTGGTACTGCAATAACAGAGACCACAAGTGAATGACGTTGACAAACAAACATTTTCTCATAAGGAAGCTAGAAGTTCAAATTCAGGATGGTGGTTCTTTAAGACGCTTCCTCTGTGCTTCCTGGTTGCAGGAGTTTCCCACCATAGGAACCTGGGTCCAGCAAGTACCAAAGTCCCTTTCTCTCTCTCTCTCTCTCTCCCTCCCTCCCTCCCTCCCTCCCTCTCTCCCCCCCTTCCCTCTCTCCTTCCTTCCCCGCCCCTCAGGTTTATCTCTTGTGAGACAAAAAGTCATGTAGACCATGCCCTAGGGAAATTCCCCTACATTCAGTCATAGCTATGACCTAACTAAAGGTCATAGCGACATCAGACCCTAATTCTCTTAAATGTACTGATTTAATGATGTGACCTCTCAGATCACATTATGGGGGGTGATTACATCATTACAAAACTGCCTCCAATCTTGCCTCATTAACATCATACTCATCCACTGCTGTTGAGTGGGTTCACAGTGACCTACCTTTTCGTTTCCAAGACTGTAAATCTTTACTGGAGGAGACTGCCCGTCTTTTTCCCTCAGAGCAGCTGGTCAACTCAAAACTGCTGACCTCTTAATTAGCATCCTTATGTATTAAGCACTATACTACCAGGTCTCTTTATTAACATCACAGAAGTTTGAATTTACGGCATAGAATAATAGCATATAATAATAGCCAATTTAGCATATATTTTGGTGGACTCAATTCAATCCATGATAGTTTTCTTTTCAGAATATAGGAAAACTGAGCAAATTTTTTAAATTAAAAAGGAAGACAGAAGAAGAAACATGCAGGAGAGAGTAAAGAAGAGTTTGGGTGGCAAGTGTGAAGATAGGTTACAAGTCATGGTATGGGAAATAATTGGCCTACTTATTGAAGTAGGAGGCCAACGTATCTAGAGTTTGTTCAAGCTGGTAAGAGTTTAATGAGAGTTGTATAGGTCTGCAGTACCCTCCACAGCATGTGCCAGAAGAACTGATAGAGATTAAAAGAAGAGGGGGGGAAATTGTGTAACTGCATGAATTGCTGCTTTTATAATGATTAATACATTAGTTCCTATAAGGCAGGAGTTAAAAATGTTCCAAATGTACAACTCCAAAGTGCTATACCATGCCATCATCTCTGACCTCAATTATTCCTCCTCCCTCCCATCTTTGTCTTTGGGTTCTGTAATTTGGTACAAAGTCTCACAAAAATGCAAAACCCCATGAGGGAAGTGGCTCTCACAGTTGTAAGTAATATAGACCAGTGCATGCAATTGCAGAGGCTAATGAACAGTAGGCCAGGCAGCTGCAAGCTGAGGTTGTTGGTTGTTGGCTATGAGAGAAGCTGGATCCAGTTAGATTCAGTGTCCTGAGCAAATAAGCATCAGGTTTTCCTGATCATTCCTCTGTATAAGATTTCAGGGTTGTAAAGCTGTCTCCACCACTGACTCGACTACACCTCATAGTGACTACATGATCGGTGGCTTTGAATCTTGTTCTGTCCTGTGCTGTCCTCACCATCTCCAACACACTATGCCCATTGTTAGTGACTGCGTCAGTCCATCTCACTGAGAGTCTTCCTCTCTTGCACTGACCCTCCACCTGTCTAAGCATGGTGTCCTTCCCCAAAGACTGACTCTGCCTTACACTATGCCCAGAGTATATGAGATTGAGTTTCATCATCTTTGTCTCCAAGGAACACCCTGATTTCACTTTCTGTAGGACAGACCTGCTTGTTCTTTAGGCAGTCCACATGATATACTCAATACTTTTCCCTAACTCCACAACTCAGAAACATCAGTTCTTCTCTCATCCTTAGTCATTGCCAACTTTCAGATGCTTGAGCAAATAATTAAGATTATGCGTGGATTAGTCCCACGTTAGTCATTGTTTTATGACTTTTCAAAATATATCCAACCCTACTCCTACAAAAAATGCACTCCAGAATGAGACTTTAGATATAGACAAAGAGGCGAGAGGAAGAATGTAAAGCTATAGCTAGAAGGCCTGTGTTACTTAAGTTGTTGTGCAGAGTAATCTCAGGATTGTGAAACACTAATCTCACCAACCTGGAAGCGAAGTGAATAATCCATAATTGTAAGTTCCCTGGACATTTGTTAACACATAGTACATTTAATTGCCCTGGGCCAAAGCGAGTAGATGGTTGAACTGATCCTGAGTCAAAGCGAGTAGATGGTAGGGGCTCAATTAGAAGGACAAGGACAAATGAACTGACTGAGTTATTGAGCATGTCTTGGAAGTGATTTCCCCCCTGAGGAAAGGAAGCGAAGTCAGAGAGCTAAGGAAGGCTCGAGAGACTACTTGTTTTGGTGGGAATGAAGTACTCCCATGAGGATTGGGGTGAACACAAGCAACCAGGAGAGGAGATTGGGCTTGGGGTGATTCTTACAGCTGGAGGGTTTGGAAATGGAGCAATTTCCCTGCATCTAGACCAGGCTATGGGAATAGCTGCTGGCACACCCCTTGTACAGGACCTTGATTAGCATCTTTTTCCTTGTAGCCTTCTCCTTACTTGGTCCTTTGGGAGGGCTTGTCTGTAATCAGAGCCACCTTTGTTTCCTGTGAAGGGCATGCCTGGCTTCAGCACCTCCAAGAAGCTGGACAAGCTGGGGATGAGGGGCTCTAACACCTGTGAGCTAATCTTTGAAGACTGCAAGGTTCCTGGTGAGTTTCTCTTAGAATGGGGACGCTGCACCCCCACCTCCATCCCGATGTCTCCACATGTTGCTGTGACTGTTCTCCACAATGACATGTGACTAAGGATTTGCCACAGTTGTACCCTTGACCATTGTGATTACAGTGTGAGTGATTTCCTCTAACTCCACAAGGGGGAACAGTCCCCATCCATATAACATCAACAGCACAAAGCCTATGCCTGTGAGGTCAGACATGCCCCTATACTCCCAAGTTGATTCTAACGTCATCCCTCCCACCCTCCCTCAGTTGCTCTACTACAGGGTCTGCTAGCCCATTGCAGTAGCCACATGGAATTCACAGGATTACTCAGAATTATGAGGATTATTAGGAAAGTTAACAGGTTACTATTCAGATTGGAAACAGTTCTCCAGTCAGGACAGCTTTTTTTAAAAATTAATTTTAATGAAAATTTACAGAGACTTGGGGTTTCCGTAGGACAACTTTTTAAGTATGCAGACAGGACCTTGGACCTTTAGCCTCTCTGTTTCAGGCCAGCGTTAAAAGGTTCTTCTAGTCCTGCCAAATTATGGACTTTACATCTCCCCTAGTCCTCTAGTAAAGTTGGACGAAAGCCCTCAGCAGTGGCTTTGGATTCCAAGGAGCAGCACTGCCTGTTCAGTTCAGCTCTGTCTCTTGCCAATCTCTGGTTCTCTACCGCCTCTGCTGAGGAAGTATCTTTTTACAGGAATCCCTCTGGCCCCAAAGGACACATGCTATACTCTCTACTTCTGTCTTGCTGATTATCAGATTCCAATCTCATTCTCATTTAGTCTGAACTGACTTACAGCTGACCCCTATTGGGTTTCTGAAGCTGTAAATTGCCCAGGAGGAGATTGTCCATCTTTCTCCTGATTTAAACCACCAGAGAGGCAAGACCTTTGAGTTAGTAGTGCAACTCTCTATGAAGTAGGCCATCAGAGCTCTCTTCTGCCTCTAAATCATCTCAGTTTAAGACTAGAGGATGTCCACCAGATGCTCTGCTGGAGAAGGAGGGACAATCTCCTCCTGTACCAGTCAGATCTGATTTGATGGTACACGTAAAAATAATTTAAAAAAATAATTTAAAACAGAGACTAGAGGATGGCAAGACTGCCCAGTCACCTCATAGTGGTCTACACACACCTGGTTTGCATGTTCCCACCCAAAAATCACTATTCATGTTATTAGCATTAGCTCCACCCACTCTAGTGAAAATCAAAGCCAGTGAACCAGGAATGCCATTTTGGACAATCCACCCACCACACCACAAGCGTGCGTACGTGTGCTCCTGGACAGCAGTCCCTGCTGCAGAGCTCTTGACCATGACTGAGATCAGAAGGGGTGTTTCCTGTGTGGAGAATACACTAAACCTTGCTTTGTCCTTCAGATTTCCTTATTTGCCCTTTTGTCTGTACATCCTGTATGACTTCTTTAATGATAAACTGAAGGAAGCTGGGCACAGTGGAAGGAACATAATTTTGTTTGAGTATGAACATTTTCTCCCCTGAGGTATAATAAAATTTGACACCAGGTAGCTTTGTGGGGAAGCTGGCCCACCATGTCACTTGTGATGAGACCTAATGAACCACCAGTTAAGTTCACTCTACATCTCAGCCATAGACCATCCTGCTCTCCCACAATCCACCGACCCCGAAAAGTGTGCTTTAGCTGCAGAAAGCATCAAGGAACAAGGATCAGTGCAAATACATTCGTCAACAGGAAACCTCAGACAAGCAGGAAAGGCAGATTGCACTGCTCAGGTTTTTGTAATGGGTGTAGATAGTGTTCAGCAGTTTCTGACACTAGCACCGAATGGCCAAAACCTGGAGAAAGAATCTTTAAAGCACCATCGTGGGGCAGATGGCCTTGGATCAGAGTGGACTGAAGGAAGGAGTAATTCTCTGGTTCCTTTGTGGGTACAGGGCTAAGAAGAACTGAGGAGGACCCTGCAGGCTGTGTGCTCAGACCTGTACTCTCCCACAGCTTAGAGGAGGCATTTGCTCACCAGCTGGTTTCTGTGTCTCAAGCCATAGTTCTCACTATCCAAGTCATTTATTGTGGCACTTGAAGCTACAAGTTCACCTTCCATTCAAGAAGTTAAAAGATGAGTTCCCCAGCTGCCTGCCTAGATATCAGTGCCAAGGGGACTCCCTCCCACCACCCCAAGGCACCAGGTTCTTTGAAGGGAAGTTGGTTCGCTCGAAGATATAATGGCTCCATAACATGGAAAGCAAGTTTCTGAAGCTGGTAGGCATCATCAAAGACACATTTGTTCAGGGGTAACAGAGCCAAGGACCTTGGCCCAGCGCCTCTTGGCAGATGCTGCATGGCAGAAAGGATTAAAATGTCTCCCAGGTGCCTGCTCTTCCCTGAAAAGCCCGGAGAAGTAGAGGCGTGCGTGGGGGGTGTGGGGTGTGTGTGTGTGTGTGTGAGTGAGCGAGAGAAGATTGAACTTCACCTTAACCTTGCTGGATTCCTCTTTTCTGCTTTCACCATTTCTTCCTGCCTTCTTCACTTCTCCTTGCTTTTACCATCTTTCACTGTCCTCATTGTCTGAGGAAAGTTCTGCCTTGGGCTTTTTAAGGAGATCCCAGAGAGAGTGAGATAGAGAGAGAGAGAGAGAGAGTGTGTGTGTGTGTGTGTGTGTGTGTAAAACAAAACCCAAGTAGGGAGAGATTTGATGGCTTCTAAACTCTTGTTTCCCATCCGTGGCAGTGCAAAAATTTAAAAGAAATGGAACAACTCTAGGCATTGTGTCTGGTGTAAAGCTCTCTCCAACAAGCTCCTCTTGGGAATATCCACTTCTGCCTTGCAGTGGTAAATCTGATCTATCTGTTTCACCCAGAGCCCTAGCTGAAGGTCAGATGACCTGTTTTATTACCTTTGCGTGACAACCACATTCCCAAACATAGTATCTTTTATAAAAATGAGGTGTCTGTGTACAGTCGTCCTGACCAGTCCTTTTTCCTGGCAGCTGCCAATATCCTAGGCCACCTGAGCAAGGGCGTGTACGTGCTGATGAGTGGGCTGGACCTGGAGCGGCTGGTGCTGGCTGGTGGGCCGCTGGGGTAAGTGAGGAGCTGGGCTCCTTCAGGCTCCTTGGGTATCAGGTACCATCATAAGCAGCTGTCATCTTACCCTCAGGGCCCCAGAAGGAGCCACTTCCTGGCCATTCTACTCTCTCCTAGGGAAAAAAGGAACCTCCTCCTTTATTAAAATGCTTCATTTCTTCACTCAGAAGTGTCCTTAGCTGATAGATCTGAGGCCTCAGGAGCAACACTGCATATGTTATTCAGGGTGTGAAGCGCGATGCCAGGGCTCTATTGCCAGCCCACCATGCAGGCACTGCCTTTGCCATGCTGCTCTCAAGAGGGGTGGGCACACCTGCCGGGCAGTCGCTCCTCCTGCACTCCCCCCTGAGGCTCCATTTGCTGAGTCTCCTCCAGACTTCCCACCCCGGCCTCACATGGGACAACAAAGTGCCTCCCGTGTCTCCTGGCAGGATCATGCAGGCTGTCCTCGACCACACCATTCCCTACCTGCACGTGAGAGAAGCCTTTGGCCAGAAGATTGGCCACTTTCAGGTGAGTGGAGGGGGAGGTTTTGGTTGAAATGTACACCCACCTTCACTGGGTTAATGTTTCCTCGGGGAATGCATGGGAAAGGCAAGGTGCACTGAGGACGTTTACTGTCTTCTGGCAAGATTAGTTGTTTGAAAGGTGGCCTCCTTCAGCATGCTTCCTGGCTCTGGGGTTTTTAGGAAGCTTATGAGATTGTCAGTGCAGCTCATGTGCAGGATTAATTTCATTCTGAGACATTAAAAGGTGAGAGGGTGAAGTGTGGCAGGTTTGGGGAAAAGCGGTTGCTATCAAGTGGACCAGCTCAGTGGCGACCACTGTGTAACAGGCCAGAGCTGTGCTCTGTTGGGTTTTCAGTGGCTGGTGTTTCAGAAGTAGATCATCAGGCCTTCTGAGACACTTGTGGGTGAACTTGAGCCATCAGTCAGCTGGCAGCCAAACCACCACACGCATACCACCCAGGCACGCCAGGCTATGACGAGGCAGAGGGAGAGAGAGTGGCACTTGGAGCCAGACTTTCTGGTCTGAGAAAGCAGCAAGAAACGAATGAGAATGTTGGTAGGTGGTCTTCCTAGTGGTCCACGGAGAGATGAGGGCCATTTCAGAGTGCAACAGTAGCTCTCTGGCCTTCTCTGTCGGTGCTCAGCTTCCCCACTGCCAACTTGCTATTGCTGACCTGCTTCAGTTAGACAGAAGAGTATCCTGAGAAGAGAATGGCTTCAGCATGTTGACTTTACCCCCTTTTGTGCCCAGTTGATGCAGGGGAAGATGGCCGACATGTACACCCGCCTCATGGCAAGTCGGCAGTATGTCTACAATGTGGCCAAGGCCTGTGACGAGGGCCACTGCACCCCCAAGGTAAGGGCTGACCATGAGGGAGAGGCCGGGGCTGTTGGCCAGCTGCTGGGACTGGCTGGCTGCATGCCCCTGGGGGTGCCTGCTGATCGGTAGCCTCCTCCCCCAGGACTGTGCAGGCGTGATCCTTTACGCAGCAGAGTGTGCCACAAAGGTTGCCCTGGACGGCATCCAGTGTTTTGGTGAGTGGCCTACACACACCCCGCTGAAGGTCTGCACTCACCCCCTAAAGCCCCAGGTTTCTTCTCCATTTCTCATTCTGTGCTCGAGCCATCTGTAGTTGGACCCTTTCTGTCCCAGTTACTAGGTGGTGGTGTGTACCATGGAGTCAGGACCAACCCAGAGATGACTCACACGTGGATTTGAATCATGTACCTTTGTGTTGGCAGCAAAATTCCTTACCAGTAAACCACCAGAGCTCACTCTGGTGCTCCAGGAGAACCTGGGAAAGCAAATAAGAAAACTACTGGAAACTTCAGTTTCTACTACCTTCAGCCATGCCCCCACCTTTTCCTCTTCCCCCTGGTACCATTACCAAGTGGGGAGTGAGAGGTGCCTCAGAGGTAGAGCAGCCCTGTTTCAATGCTGGTTCTGAGCACAGGTGGGCCGCCTAAGTGTGAATCCAGGCTTTACCACTTACTGGCTTAGAGACGCGTCAGTGACGTCACTTCTCTGCTGGACACCGAGGGCGTGCTATGTTAGTCCTTGTTTCCCTTGTCCAGGTCTACCAGTCGTTCTCCTTTCTCTTTACCTTAGCATTCTGGGTGGTCTTCCAGCCCCTTACCCCCTCTTTTCCCTTTCCTCCAGGCATTCCCCAACTCCTCCCTCCTACCACCTCCTGATGCTGTTTTTAATTGATCTCTCTGGCCTGTTGCCAGGTACTACTTGCTTTCCTTGTCTTGACCCGCATGCATCACTTTTGTTCTTTCTTCTCTGCCCATCCCCTGGCTGTAGGTGGCAATGGTTACATCAACGACTTTCCCCTTGGCCGCTTTCTGCGAGATGCCAAGCTGTATGAGATTGGAGCTGGGACCAGTGAAGTGAGGCGGCTGGTCATTGGCAGATCCTTCAATGCAGACTTCCACTAGCCTGAGACCCTCACCCCTGATCCCAGCACCTCGAGGCCTTTCTTTGGAAGTGGACTTGGCAGCTCTGCCACCCTGCCCAAGGCAGGCCCTGTTGCTCAGCTGCCCCTGCGTCAGCCCTCTGGGCTCTGTGTGAGGTTGAGTTCTCTACAAAGGCTGCCAGACACCAGGGGCCTCACAGCTGGGACTGACTGTCCCACCAGGAAGTGCTCTGATTCGCCCAGGCAAAAAGCCTGGCTTTTCTGGGGACTGCTAGGATAGGCTTTGATGACTGTGCCTGCTCTCCATGTTCTGACCCTGATACCACCACCACCCATGATGGACATTGAGGAGCCGGGTACCTCTTTTATTGGGGGGAGGCCGGTGCGAGTCTTTGGCAAGAAGCCAATCAGAAGGCTTGAGCTCACCCAGAAGGATCAGAGTGTGACTGTCCCTATAGATGTGGGCAAGGACCTAGCCACTGCTGGTTCCTGGTTTTTCCTCACTCACCTATCATTTCGTGCTTATAGATATTTTTAATTTTCTCCAGTTTGCCAATTTTAGTCAAATGTTAAGCTGTGCATTTTCTATTCTTGGGAGAGAAAAGTTCTCATTGCCCCTTTTGATGTACTGGACCTCGAGTTTCTCTTCCCTGTGGGGTGATAGAGAGCCTGATCTTGTTTCTGCCTAACTCTGGAGGATCTGTGCTCTCTGCGTTTGACGGGGCCCCACTCAGCAGCAGAGAACCATCCCTCCATCCAGGAACCAAACCCCCACCCTGCTGGAATGGAACACTGGCGAATTTCTGCTTCTCAGAACTCAGAACACCTCCCTCAGCAGAGGTCTGTCCCTGCTGACCTCCCCAGCAGCCCCTGAGAGCCCTCCCCCAGCCTGGTCACCAATACCAAGACCTCTGGCCATGTGACTACCAGCAGCTGACTCTGAGTGGCAGGCACAGGGCCCTGCCTGGGTTGGCTGGCTCGGCTCCAGCTGAGGCTGCCTGGGTGCATTTCTCTGGACACCCTATGGCTAATTTTGTTAAAACTGCACAGCGGCTGCTGCCATTTTGTGTTAAACACATGGTGAAGCAAATCAATCTGCTTTCAAGCTATGTTTTTTGAGAGAACACTGTTTGCTACACCTCCTGTCTAGGTCCACAGAGAGCAGCTGGCTCACTGATAATGGGGCAGGGAGTGATGGGATTCACACTAAGAGGATTGGGAGCTTCACTTTTCCAGAACTCCCCATGACTTTAAATGTGAGAGGGAGACCAGAGAATGAAAACTCACACACCTCTGAGGTTTTTAAATATCAAGAAACATGCATTCCCCAGGTCAGAACTAGGTTCCAGATCTAATTGAGGCAAAAATGAGTGTTCTCAGACCACCTTGGAGTCCCACTGCTCTATAGCCTGGGTGGAAATAAGTCTTGGGGGAAAGAGTAGGGATGATGGGCCAGGGTTTTTCTACCCCATCTTAAGTTCCGAAGAAGGAACTGGTTTTCTCTGCTCCCAGCCCAGTGCCACCTGTAGCCAAGTGCTGCTCCCAGGACCTTGAGATAGATGGGGTTTGCACCTCCTTAACTCCCGTATATACATCCATGCCCAGAGCTCCTGAAACCTTATCCACATCCCCATCTTTCCCTGCCATGTTGGAGATGAATACGGTTCAAGTGGTCTCGCTGGGTTAATGGAACCACTGACCTGGAGATGTTCAGAATAGAATGCCATCCAGTCTGTTGACTGCAGCTTGGGGAGCTTGATCCACTGACACTATATTTAAAATGCAAGAGGGATGTTTATATATATTTAGATATATATACACACACACATATAGATACAATAAAACCACAGAAAAACCAGTAAGCTGTAGCCCGAGTCCTGTAGCACGTGGACCATCTCTGCCTGGATTCCTAAAAGAGTTTTTGATTAATTAAGTCAGTTTCGCAGTAGGGCTTGAGATGATCCAGTTGCCAAGCATGACTGCCTGGGACTGCTGCTCACAGCCCCCAACTCTCTGTTTCTGATTTTTTGTCCTATGAATAAGTAACCAAGGCTGATGTATTTTTGCAAGTGTGGATGTGAACCCCATCCCAAACCAAAACCTAACATCTCAGATTCTGAGATTCTTATTCAGTATCTGGGAGGAGGAGCCTAATGAAATCATGGGGGGTGGGGGTAATTCTTAGGCAAAGCCACCTTTCAGAGTTGATCTTCGGCACAGGGGCTGTGCGTGTGAATTCTAAACCTTTAAGTCTAGTGAGAATTACCCCCCTTACCTGTGTTCTCTCAAATCGTGTTGGATATTTTAGTCCTCATGTGAGAGGAAAAGGTTGTACAGAGTTTCCTTTGAAAATATCCGGGGTTACAGTAACAGGCTGCCAGTGAACTAGCCACATTCCACGCTGGCTGCAGCAAGGGTCAGTCTTAAATGCAGCATGGGTGCGGGGATGTGAAGAGGAGTCCTTTCTAGAGCTGAGGTGGGTACTCGCCCACGCCCCTCTCAACGGCGCTGAGGCCCAGATGGCTATCGATCTGTTGGAAGGGAAGGGCCAGCATCCTCTCACCACGGCACCAGGCACCAGGCACCGCGTGCGGCGGAGCGCTCCACCAAGCGGGTCTCAGAGTGGCCACCGGGCCGGGCCGTGCGTGGAGTTCGCCTGACCCCTGCCGGTCGATCACAGCGTCGCAGGCGCACACAGCCCTTGGCTCTAGTCTTGGCCAATGGCTCCAGGCTCAGATTTCAAAACGCACAGTGGATTGAGGTTTTTATTTTGCAAAATGACAATGAAAATACAAGTCAGCAATACCTTACCATATTAGATTTTTAAAATTATCTTTTTTTATTATTTGTGTGTGTACCATCAAATCGGATCTGACTGGCAGCGGAGGAGATTGCCCCTACTTCTCCAGTAGTTTTAAAAAGTATCCTTTTTATAAGAAAGGACACTTTTTTAAAAAGTATGTTGTGTGGCAAAAATAGACACAGAAAAACTCACTCCTAGTTTCTTGACCAGGTACATTGATCACATTCTTCATATTGTGTCAATATTCTGTTCTAGTTTCCTTCACTCTCACTAATTTACAGTCTCTCTGCCCTCTCAACCTTCATAACTATGGTTTAAAATACCTGCTGATCTTACATAGTTTTATTTTTTAGAAAATAAAAAAATACAATTCTCAAGATAGACGATCTTTATTTTTTAAACTATTACTTTAAAGGTAACTTCAGGGGATAATTTCAATTCAAGACTAATTTTCAAATCAAGGCCATACCTTTGGAGACCTTTCCAGGCTGCTTCTTGTGCCTCGTTGAGTCAGAACCTGCCCATAGCTGATCCTCTAGCAAGTTTTCAGGGGCAGTTAAATACACAGGAGGAGCTGGCCCCTGTTCGGCTCCAGAGAAGCAGAAGCTAGTTGATTTGAGCCACCAGTATCTAGGATTGCAGCACAGCTTCTTCCCACTAACCCACTAGAGCTCCCCTCTCAAACCTTAATATGTATAATAAAGAATTTGAAGTCCTATTTTCTCCCTAAGAAAGGATACTTTAAACACTCTTTTAAAAAGGAGATAAATTCACAAGAGTCCAAAGTTTTTCACTTGTAAAATTAGCATGTTACCTATTCATGGTTTTAGAAACAATTGTTTCAAAAACCTCATTATAAGAGAAAACCTTCCCTGGCCCTCCTCATTCCAATTCTCATTCCTAGGGCAAAATCACTTTAGAATCTACAAGTCTTTTTATTTTCCCCAATAATTTACTTCAGATCTTCAAATAATATATTTATGCAATGATTAAAATGTAGACACAATAAAGTACAACTAGCATTTGGTCTATGAGAAGCTCATGAATCCATGATTTTTCACTTTCTCTGGCAAGTCCTGGTCCACGTATGAGCTCATGGATCAGAGAGCATGTCTCTGGCTGTTCTGGCTGCCTGTTCACACTTGTGCTTCTCAGTGACCAATGACCAAGACCTACCTGAATGTCAGCTGGGTAAGCCACCTCTGTGCTCCAGCTCATCCAAGCAGAAGCAGAAAGCAGCTCCAGATCAGGCCTACACACACACACACACACACACACACACACACACACGCACGCACGCACACACGCGCGTGCGCACGCGCGCAGGCCCTGGGATCCTGCCTGGTATTGGCTACATGTTTTTTTGATCCGCTAATACCGCCTAGCTTGCCTTCTTTCTTCTAGTCCATCACCCTCAAAGTTTCCACTTGCTAGAGGAACTATCAAGCCCTCCACTAAATCCTTTGTCCCCAGCACTTCTATGATCTGAAGTTTTGCAAGGCAAATTGGACTCCATGACTCACCTGGGATTTTTCCTTGACTGGTCTGTCCCACCTCTGTCACCAATCCCCACCCTTATCCCTGCACCCCACCCCCATCCCTCCCACCTCTGAACTCTTTCCCCCCCTGAGCAGAGCACTTGATTCCAGCAAGTCTTCACCATGGTTTTTCTCACCTCTATGCCCTTCTTTCAGCCTGTCACTCTGCTCTTGTTGCCTGATCCCAAAAGCCTCCATGCTGGGGCTACCTGTCAGGAAGACCTCTCCCAAACATTCCCCCATTCACTACCCCTATCTTATTTTTCCTGGGGGAGATCATTTCCTCTTCCTCCCTCGGCCCACCTGCATCAATGTACTTACTTCACTGCTGTACTTAATCTCACAGGCCTCTTGACCATCAGGACTGCAATTTACTGCCTTTACATTTGCCACGGACAGAGTTCCTGGCACACAGTGAGTGTTCAGCAAAGGGATGAGAGTGAATAGAAGGGATAACGTGATACGGAGCCCACACTCTGCTGGTGGCATGGTTTGGTGTATGTGGTCACTTCTCAGTGTGCTGTAAGATTTTTGAAGTCAAAGATCATTTCTCACTTCTCTGAGTCCTTCTATAGGCCCCGGGTACACACAGTAAGGTGCAGTGGCTATGTTCATGTGGCTATGAGTGAAACAACAGGTGGGCCAGAGCCCTGGCCTAATCCCTGACATTGGCAGAAACAGCAGGACCAGTGGGCCCTGCCTCTCCTAGGCCTTCCCAGGCCCCTCCACCCTGCAGTAGACAAGCCCAGCTGCAGAGGGGAGGCCCTCACCCCCATATCCCTTCGCTAACCTATTCAGAAACAGAAGCACACAGTTATGATAAGGAGTTGTGGTCCCTTCCCTGCTGGGTAAGGACCATCATGGGGAACAGGACACAGAAATGGGACAGAGTCAAGGCACATCCCTGCTTGCCTTTTTCTTTAGAATGTAAAATGTATGATATATACAGAAGTATGTAACATGCAGGTATTCAGTA